ATAAAGAATAATAACACAATTTTAATGGTTGTTACATTGATGTTTTAACGTGACATTTTAAATTTTACACAAATATAAACAAGTTTTTAGAAACAAATTGAATTTTATAACGACCATTGGAATTTCATGGGAACGATGTAACATTTCATAACAGGAGTAAATTTGTAATGTGTTAATGAATATTCTGAAACTTAATGTAAAAATAATGTATTGCCAATTTAAGTACTGGATTTGAAATCAATATCATCTTGAATGTACCAATCAGTAACATGTTTGGCTATCGACCCGTTGATCGTCATTGGCCCACTTTCGAATTTCTTTGGCCCCCAAAAGGTCGATTTCGACCCCGTTGGGAGCCCCTGATTTTCGGACTCCCAACAAATTCCGTTATTGCACTCGAATCACCACTATCACCCTATTAAACTCGATTGCTTCCCACCGGTCATCACCGACTTTTATTCCATCTCCCACCCCGCTACATTTGGCCCATCAACTTCTCACTTTAGCGGTCTGTCGCCCGCGGCTCCGATCTGTCATTTGGTTTCCCTGCGCCGCTGTCATCCGTGTTCCTGTTTCGATCGCCCCCGTGGACCCTCCCCCTCCCCCCTCCCCTCTGCGTCTTCCGGGCCCCGCCTCGCGCCTCGTTCCGCTTCCGGGGACGCGCGCCTTGCGCTCGAGTGGCGCGCCCTGTGGCGGGGAAGGGGACTGTCAGCCGCAGGCGCCGCGCCGGTGTTGCGTATGGCGACCGACCGCGGCGCCACCGACCGCGCCACTAGCGCGGTGCACGGAGCTTCGAATGCTTCTTCGCATCGTTGTCTGTTTCGTGTACACTGAAGTATTGGTTGCAAATATTTATTATTATCTGGAAACGTAGCTAATATGTCTTAGCATCGTAATAATTACTACGAAGTGAAAAATTTATTTTAATGGAAGTGCGCTTAAGTGTATTGAAAAGCCATGTGTCCCAAAAAAATGATAAAGTGACATGATGAAAGAGTGACGAGTGACATGCGTAAGTGCTACTCGTTCTCTGCTGTACTCGCCTACACTTTAAAAATAGAGCAAATGTATTAAATAAACAAACTAAGTCTTATTTCTCCCTATCTCCATACACTATTATAACATTTTATATATATTGTCATAATATTGAATCTGTTTCCACAGAGACATTCACCGGTTGAGTTTGGCTCAGAGTCAGCACTGCCCTTGTCTCTGCAGCGATTCTGATTGGGAAGTCCTAAGGTTCGAGTTCCTCGGAAGTGTATTTTCGACAGTTGCTAAATAGCTGATCGGTAGACTTCGCTGGTTTCTCCGAGCAGTACTATACGAATGCCGGAGCAGTACCTTAACAAACAGGCTATTGACGGCATGCCATCTTTTCTTCCTCTCCCTTGTCCCACCCCCCTCCCCTTACTCTCACTTACACTTACATGAATTGCACAACCACACATGTCGGAAGATAAGCTAGAAGCTTAGAACATGACGCGGTTGGGGCGGTGAGCCCGCTGGTGGGAGATACCTGGAGGTGTAAATCCACGCAAGTCAACATGTAGGTCGACGCCGGACCGCTCCACCTAGCGAGATACACCGCAATCTCCCGCAATAAAACATTCACTACACAAACGGAACTAATGACTATAACTTTTTTCGTGCCTGACAACATCCTCCAAACAGAAACGCAGAGACTTCTTCTGAAGTGTTATTGTTCTAAAAGATCTTCGACTTTCCTACACACTCTCACGTTGCCAGTCCACAATGTTTCACGCCCATTTTATACTACATAGTACTCATCTCCATGCTGCGACGCGCTCTGCGTTGTCTCTGAACAGTTTCTTTGCATCTTTTTTCTTCGTCCTTTTTGCCTTCACACGCTCCATCTTTTCACGCTTCATAAGACGGTTCCTAGATATTTCTTTCTGGTCGCGCTTTCAATATTCGCCTATTTAATACATACCTTCCTTCTTCTTCTTCTTCTTCTTCTTCTTCTTCGACAGTTTCTACCCCTTAGAGTTTGCCGTTTTCGATTTCCATAATTCTCGGTCTCCATTGACCCCTCTCAATCCTTTCTCCTCCATAACTTCGTATATATATTTCTCAGATTAAACAGCCTACCTCTTCTAACGTTCTTCTGTCAGGTAAATCAATTTATAATTTGTTCTTGGTCACTCTCTCATTCGCTCCTCTGGACATGTCCATACGCATTGAAGAGCTTATTTTTTAGTCTTTACTGTATGTTTGTTGAATCCCAGCTTTTCCACACCACTCTCGTTCCTTAATTTTATAGTCTTGTTATGCTGCAAAGACCTTCTATAAAGTCGACTCTACCGACGCGTATTCTGTCCTCTACGGGGGTTTTTGTTACGGCCAACATTTTCTGCTCCATAATAATAACTACTTTTCACGATACTCGTGGAATATGTGTGCTTTGTGTCTTGCCTTAAACACTATTCTATATAAGGCGCATACAGTTTAATTGCATTTCTCCCTTTGAGTATAGTAGTTTATCATTTCATCAATTCTTTCCATCGTCAAGTAATTCCAAGTCGCAAGATCTTTAAATTTCGAAAACGTTAAGCTATCTTCGTCATCAGCGCTTAATATTAGAGGCCTCTCTGCCTATGCATAATCTTCTGTGTTTTTAAGGTTGATTTATAAGTCCCCCATTTTTCTCCCGTATTCTTCTTTTTAATTTGCGAAGGCATATACTCCAAATTTCCCGATCTGATTGCACATAAATTCTACCTGATCCATCTGCAAAAAGCAAAGAATGTAAGAACTTGTCATTATGGGGAAGCTCGCCATATGAGAACATTTCTTGTTACCAGGTTTTCCAAAGCTTGTTCCATAATATATATATATATATATATATAAATATATACTATATATATATATATATAATATAATATATATATATATTAAAGAGAAGTGGCGATAAGCTGACATCTTGCTTTAACATTTGGTTAAGTTCTAATGCTTCGGGTAACTTTCCTCCATTTTAATGCACGCTTTCAGCATTCTGATAGATTTTTGTTAACTAAATTAATCACTTTATTTCATTGGGGCATCTTTCAGTCTTTTCATTGCTTGGCCAAAATTTTTTTTACAATCTTTGGAACACTGTCCATAGGCCTTGTTCCAGGTCAATAAATGTCATATATGTATCTTATGTGCACGATTTTTTTCTCTATCTGGCGTAAGCAATTGGTGTTAATCCAACATGACGTCTCACTCCTTCAACACTTTTGTTCTTCGTGAAAGTTATTTCTTTTTTTTCCTTTAGAATACTAGCGAATATCCTAGCTAATGGATGGGAATGACACTAATTCATCTGTATTTTCACAAATAGTTTTTGTCACCCTTTCTTGTGAATGGAACATGATGTTGACCTATTCCATTCCTGCGGGATATCACCGCTAACTTCAATTCTATTAAAAAGATTTTGAATACCTTCCTTCTGATTAAAATTAAACTTCTTTAAATATTATTCAAATCAAAATTCTTCATTCGTGTCATTTAGCTTCTTATATGACTCTTCCCATTTAAACCTTTCCTTCCTTGATTCCGCGCTTGTTCATCGCAAGGGCATGTTCATGACGCATTTTCCACCCTTCCCCTCGCTATCTCTCGCGTGCCATTCCCTCTCAGCATCACGTGGTCCCACTCTCAGCTCTTTTTTCAGACTCTGCTGCACCCTTAACGCGCATTTTCTCCTTCCGTGAATACTCATGCACGTCGCTATGCAATTTGTCACTGACAACTCCCTTCCCTCCCAGTTCTTGCTATCCCTGTGCCTGACATTACTGCCATCTTTCCTCTTGATAATAGACTTCCTCTATATCCATTGCCTCTTTATTTCGTCTCTTGCGTCTTTCTCTGGACGTCCCCTCTTTCAACCCTCTGCGCTGCCTTCTCCTTCCCCCCTCCCCGCCATCACACCCTCCCCCTCCATCACCCCCTCCCCGTCCCATGCACTCCCCCACCCGCTCCCTCCCCGAGGGCGTGTTTGCGTCCAACAAAACGGAGCGGAAGATTCCACAATGCGCGGATAACGGGCTTTCGCCGGCCGGCCGTGTTTTTTTAAAGAGGCGCGTCGAGGCCGCGATCCTTTCGCAGCTCGGTAATTAGTCTGTGATTCGAGAGAATGGAAGGCCTTCGCCGCTTTTTGGTTCCCTCGGACGGACGGGTTGATGATGTGACGCCAACGTCCGCTAACGCTTAGTGAGAGCGCCATTGCCCCATTTGCGATTTCTCTCTCGACCATTCTCGTTTTGTGTTAAAATTCGGACGCCGATAAGACTGTTGTGCGACTCGCCGCTCAATTTCGTAGGCATTTGGCAGCAGCTGCAATAAATATGATATTTTTTCTATTTATTTGCGCTGACACAATTTCCATGCGTCGGGTCATTAAAACTTCTACTCTTTCTGTGAACTGTTAAATTGTAATAAATGACTATTATGTAGCTTTTAAAAGTTGGCCGAAGTCCACCTTTCAGAGGTCGAAAAGACGTAGAAATAATATAGACTTTTACAAATCCACAACTAATTCATATTCTGAACAATAAAATATTACTAGAATACTCTTTAATTTAATAAAGATTCGAAATCCATAATGAACAAATAAACAATGGAAAGTTTATTAAAGTTTTCGCCGTAATATTATGGACGAAATTATATAATCATATTTAAAATGTAAAACATCAATTTGTCTGCTTCCAAGGATTGTTCTATTTATTTTGCCAGTTAGTAATTTGGGTGACAGATTTCATGTCATTCATTACTTATGTGAAAGTATAATTAATTTGCCTTAATAAAATACTAAATCATTTGAAGTTTTCTGTAGTTAAAATTACATTTAATAACATTCGTTTCTTTTAGTTCAAGTAATCAAAAAAATTGATAATTACTATATTTCTGAATATAATAAAATTCATATCAGCCACGACACATGTTCCTGCTGCGATAAATGCATCATCTGACAAACAATTCTTACTTGCTTGCAGAAACGGGTCACTTGACATCCTGATAGCTGACACTCCCATTCTGGACTACTACCGTGCGACGGACCACGGTTGCAAGTTGCAGAAGATTGGAGACGCTATCAACGAGGACACCTATGCCGTTGGCATGACAAAGGGCTTCCCGCTAAAGGTAAGAACTGTCTACAAACCATTTATCTGATGTCGGAATCTCGAATCTGATGTGAAATAGTTATAGCCAAATATTGCTGTTCTCAACACTGTATTCCGAGTATTCGATTAAATAAAATGTTCAATTCTCCCATAAAAGATCACTTGTTCAATCATTTTGCTTGAACAATTACAATACATTTTTTAAATAATGGATATCTCTTGAATGCTCATATTCTCTCTCTAGTTTCTGGACAATGGATGTGAAAAATTTACCTTAATATTGTTAACATTTCATTCAGTTTAAAAGAACAATTTATCACCATCATTATATTTTGTAATCATTCTTAATGACGTATTGATAACAACATAAGTTACAGATTGAAACTGAGGTACTCCTTCCTGTTATCAGCACTCATATCTGATTCTCAAGTACCATGTTATAGCATTTGAGATCAATTCCTGCAACTGGCAATTTGCCCAGAGACCATTTCAATCTAAACTCTACACATTACAATTTATTAAGACTGATACGTTGACAAGGTTTCCGTTTATTTCACCGTTGGAACGGTTTCCGCTCCTGTCTGTTGGCGACGGCCGTCAAAAGTTTAGCCGGCCCGCGAAGCACTCCACAAATCGAATTGGACCCGATCACCGGCTCCAGGAGGAGAGTCGTAACGTTACATCATTCTTATTTCCCAGAATGTGACGGTAATGGTCGACAAGCGGGCACCTACATAAATCAAGGGGCGATGTTTTGCCCGCGTATATCCGGCCAAGGGTTTCGATGCCTCCGCCTTCGCCGCGGGCTCTCCTCCCCAGTGGTCCTACACTGCCACTGACAACTTCGACTTGAATGGAAAGACGTCAACGTAGCTTTCCATTCTCCATTGTCACACTTACCACAGACGTATTCGCCATCGACATCACTGTAAAGCGAGTGGTTTTATTGTCGTCTCAAAACCATCTCCACCGCTACCCCTACCGTCAACATTCGCAGAGCCACTCAACCTAACCAATCACATCACCAACACCACGTCCATCACCTCCGTCGACGCCAATGTCGCGCATATTTGCCACTTATGTTATTATCACCATATCTATACCCTTCCCACACGTTTGGATTTGTATGTCAACTCGCTAAGGGTATACTCAGCTTTTACTGTAACTTCCATTTGTATACTGTAGACCCATCAGAACTTTAGTTTTCTGGACAAAACAAACCAATATGACACTTCTTCACCAATACATACAATTTTCACAAATATACATAATTTTTGTATTCGTGAAGAAGTGACATATTGCATTGTTTTTCCCAGACAAATGAAGTTATATAGAAAAGAGTATATATTGATTAATATTATAATATATACTGTATAATTTAAATAATTATCTATACATTATATATAAAAGTATATATATATGTATATATATGTATATGTATATATATATGTATATATATGTATATGTATATATATATATATATATATATATATATATATGTATATGTATACTTTTATAAAAATATGTCCATAATTTTTATTCATAAAAATAGTAAAATCACTTTGGTTAGTAAAAATTATGTACATACTTTATATTTATCAATACAATTTCCGAATTTGAAAAAGTTGGATTTTTCTTGTTTTCGTAAATACGAAGACAACAATATTCGGATACCCCTGGAATTCTGGGGTCCTTGGCAATCGTCCTGCGTTTCCGTGTCGGCCCTGACGGCCTCTGCCGCCTCCGCCGTTGCCGCTCCCGCTCGCGCAGCGCCGTCGCGGCGCCGAGTGGCGTGGCGTGACGTGACGTGGCGTGGCGTTTCCTTTCGCTCCCGCGGCGCTTTTGATTGATTTCTCGCGCCGCGACGGCTGCGTTCCCTCGATCGCGCCCGATCCCGCTTTCCGCCGAGGGAAAGGCCAGCGGAGCAGAACTTTGCGAGTAAACAGGGGAGAAGAGAGAGAGAGAGAGAGAGAGAGAGAGAGAAAGAGAGAGAGAAAGAGAGAAATTGAGCGAGTGAGAACAGGAATGGCACAAGCAATAAATGTGACGTTTTGAAGTAATGGTGATGATAAGCCAAATATTAACATGCGATATTGTTTATAGCGAGTTGCAGCTGAGAAAATGTTGTATTTACTATTTGTTTATGGTTTGTCGTGTGTAGTGTGATGTAGAGTCGTAGTATAGTAGTAGAGAGAGAATGCCAAACGTGGTAGTTAGTCGGCTGAGTCTTTCGATTTCGTTTTTAAATCCCAGGAAGAACGTGAAAGTATTTAAGGAATCGGACGACAAAATGGTGATGATGCCTGATAACTGAGATGTGATGTAATCCAAAGCAGGGAAACGAGAGAATCGGAGTAAACCTACTGCTACTCGCTTTGTCTTTCTCAAATTTCACTTTGAGAGTCCATAATTGGAGAACTGGAACTCAGGGAGAGATTATGATGAAGGGAAATTATTCTTGGAGAAGGAAAGGCTTCTAAATTTTAGTGTTTAACATTTTAAAACAATTTTAATTCTTAATCTTGCCCAATACATTTTTAACAATTAGATAATTGGCACTTTGAATATATTTTTATTACAACTGCCACTTGCGGTCCGCTGAAATTGCAGTGCGCTAAAATTGCACTTGCAGTGCGCTCAAACAAGTGAGGTTAATTGGCATCATTCGTGTAATTAAAACATTCGATATCAAGCAACTACCATCAATTGTACAAATGGTGCTCACAAATTTGAAGAAAACTTTGTAATACTACTACTATTTCCGTGCAGCTTCTTTCCAAGGACATTTTGCATCCTACTCGGAATTCGATTAATTTTTGCTTTCAATCAGCAGCATATTGAAGAGAACGCATGAAATCTTTTGTGAAACAAATATTTATTATTCATTGGGTTTAAATAAATATTTCAATCTGCAGGATAGCATTTCGGCTGTGATCGCCAAGTACGCCAGCAATGGCTACATGGACATCCTTCAGGAGAAGTGGTACGGGGCGCTGCCTTGCTTCAAGCTTCAGACCGACATGGCGCAGCCGCGGCCGCTAGGTGTGGCCGCCGTTGCTGGTGAGTTCTTAAGAAAAGTGGCTTCGGTGCAAGTGTGCATGTCAAATTATCAGTAAAGGCTTCATAAAATGTATCTGTAAGTTTCCAAACTACAGTCGGAATTAACGAATGCAGTTCCTCACAATAAAAAATATTTAAAAAATTCGTGATGTTTTATGCTTGACTTCATATCATCATTAATTGTATTGACTTGAAGATGACAGTATGATTTTCAATGTCGAATTAAATTTTTATATGCAACTATTTTGCGCAAAACACCTCCCCCGAAGAAAAGATGGGAAGAAGCATTTTTTACATATTCACAAGGAGATCGGTGCAGTTTTTTTATTTTATTATAGTCAAATCCATATTACTAATGCGAAATGAGGGCAGAAATTATCAGAAAACTATGCAGCCATCAGCTTATGAGATATTTCTATGGTTTTGTTAGATACTCAATACAATTCCAAAATTTCCAATGAAACTTATTCGATTTGACCTAAACTAATGAAACATAGTTTTAGCAAGAGGACTGTTGCAGAAAAACTCTGGTGAACAAAATCACTCAAAATTGTTTTCCAAAAAGCAACATGCACTCTGCTCAAGAAAACAAATAAAATATTCCCAATAGCGGTGTAATAATTAAATCAAAAAAGGTCTGCCCTAATATTGCAATAATACAATAGAAAGTTTATTGGATATCAGTGTCTTAGCCTGATTTTTGGCTTACGGTATGTATCTCGAGAAATAAGAAAATAATTTAAACTCCTAAATATTCCCCATTCACCAGTGTACGAGCACGTACAATGTGTCTTGAGAGCCTTGTAAATATTATTTAAAACTGCAGAACTATTGAAAATTCACACTTATTTCATTTGAGAGCCTTGACCAGAAAACACCAGTAATGTAGTTATTTTAAGACCCTTACATTCGCACATCCATGTTCCTTACTTATAAATTATTAAAATGTCTGAAATTATTTAATGTTCTTAATGATCATTAGAGTTAATTTTTTGAGCCTGATTTAATTATATTTTCCTTTTAAAAGAATGTTATAGTCTGTATACTTCTTGTTTGCAATTTGTTCTCTACAAAACAATACGATTCCATAATTATACAGTCGCGTTGTGAACGCCATTCCACATCGTAAGTGTTCATTGCACGAGCACATACTTTTCTCCATTAAACCAGCACACTTTCTCACGTAAATTGTCTACAAATATACAGTTGCTTCATTAAAAATGGTGATTTAAATAAAACTACAATGCTCATAAATCATCTCTTACAAACACCGAAGAAAACAATGGAGTTTCGAAACACGAAAGAAGAAGCAGAAGACTTTCGTAACACGATAGCTATTTCATAAGAAAGTAATCAGTCACTGTTCATCTGATTCGCAGCACAGGCGAGGCGGTATTTCAAAGTGAGTCTTTCATCCTTGTGAAAAATCGAATCCTCAACGGCACGATGCTTGGAGAATGAATGGAAAAAAATTGAAATGCAAAAAGAAAATAACAAATAGACAATTTACAATTAATTTTAAATAAAAATTGCAGATATGGTCAGGGTATGTAACACATCACCCACTTCCGTAGACGCTACGATCCTCTTGGATATGTTAATTTTTTTACATACCAACAATATTAAGAAGTTGCTAATCCTAACGGCAAATCGTAAATAGCAGATATTTAATGGAAGGCGACCTTTTCCGTGAAGCCTTACTACTGAACAACGTCAGCTCCGTAGTAAGCTATAACACATATAACATAGTTTGAGAATTCAGTTGGAACGTGCAGGGTGCGAAGAGGCGGAAAAACACATTCATGTATTTGAATTATTCAGCAAAGATCTAAAGTGTTTCATTGTTTTTGGATTTTCCAGAGTTTCTGGGTATCTAACAAACCCATCCACATGGTCGAAGCTTGTTATAGATTTATGTCAATATCTGCGCTCTTTGGAAATTTGTAATATAGATTGCTTGTTTTTTAGTATTTGTTTCAAAAGGCGATTAAATTAATGTATTTGTACAATTGCTTAATTCCGTAATCAACTTGTTACCTTTAGTGCTTCTAAGTGGTTTGATACAAATGGTATTAAATACTTTTACTCTAAAGTTAAGAAAATTATATCAGAGAAAAGCCATCAGGTGAAGAAAAGGCTGATGACGCCGTGCCCGGTTCGCGTGTTGCAGGAGTGTTCATTCTGCTGGGGGTGGGCATGGCGCTGGGCTGCCTCATTCTGCTGTTCGAGCACCTCTTCTACCGCTATACGCTGCCCATCCTGCGCCACAAACCCAAGGGCACCATCTGGCGCTCGCGCAACATCATGTTCTTCAGCCAGGTGAGCCTCCACGCGCACGCACGCAGGTCTCAACGGTCCGCAGAAAAACCGATTATGTTGGCACTATGCCAGGATCGGTAAATACAGACCAGATCCCATATGTGAGTCAGTGTGTAGTGTAAAGGTTAATGTGTCCCCATCAGGGACATATTAGGGAGTTTTAGCGCCACAAGTAAGGTAACTCGTTATGCACTAATAGTCACGTGGCGGACCTTGAAATCATAACGTCTTACCTTAGGCCTAAGGTACGACCTTATACCTTCATAAATAGTGCACGCCTGTAGGAGTCACTATGGTCACCTTACTAGCGACAAAATGGCCGCCTAAAAGCAGTAAAATTTGAATTTTTCCAACTCTGATAAACCGATTCTCATATGTGAGGCAGTTTCAATTATTCCTTACCAACTTTACAACACTAGCAAGAATAAACGGGATATGTTGCAGAGGTTACAGGAAAGAAATTCGCGAAAAATAAGTTCAGATCCTATCTTCGGTATTGGATATGTCTTATGCTCATAACGAACGCCGTTTTAAGATATTTCCTACATTTTTAAGACAAGCAGATTCGAAATTCCAGTCTGCATACTCATCACGGAGGGCCACAAATCTAAAACTCCGTGCACAATGTATATTTGTTATTCTGTTGACTCGTAACGTGTTTTAAATGTCTCACCACTAGCCTACACTCTTTGATGTAGTCTGCAATTTGTCTGTTCAACGCCTTAAATGCTTTCTTTGTTATAATGCACAACGCAATGTCGCAATAGCCAAAACTCGTCTGAACGTTGTTCATTATGACCGTATAAAGGCGTTAGTCACGTGATCAATAGTTTGAGAATATATCCTCACGCCGGGTCCTGTAACTCCCCTAACGGCGTGGATAGTCGAAAGCGACATCTCCTGACGCTAGAAAAAGTCACAGGAAATAAAATATATACTAGGGTCAGTAAACGAAGCCGGCTCAAGACCAATTTTGAGAGAGCTTCCCCTCTACCTTCACTCGTGGTGCTCATCTTTTCTTATTTTCTGCTTATCAATTACAACCATTTAACACCCGCGAGGTTCTGTTTCCGTCCTGGGATAGGAACAAAAGCCAAAAACATGGGGTGGAAACTGTATAGAAGAGAAGCGACCCTCCTAAATAAACATCATTAAGTGTTATATTATTATGAGAATGCCAATGTCTCATCCGAAAGTCGTTTTTTTCCCCTCGTTTTACTGAGTAAGAAGAGAAAGTATTGTAATCGTGCGGCATAAATCGGCAAGTTTCGAAAGAAAACTCTTATTAACAGGCGCTGTTAATGAAAAAGTAGATAATCTTCCTACGTAGTAAATTTCGTTCTCTAACGCATTGAGTAGCACAATCAATTTTTATGGGTCTCTGATACCGAAAAGTGGACCGAATTGACGCAAAGCGTGATTGCTTCATGGAAAACCCAGTACCATCGTTCCATCAGACCCCCAGTGCCATATTCACGTTCAGATGTTATTTTAGTGTATGCCAATAAGAGAGTAGTTGTGTAGTCGAAAGAACGTAGTAAATACAGAACTAGTTCCTCAAAAATAGACCAATCTAGGTTTCTGCAGAAAGTACCGCAAATACAAAAAATGTTCAAAATATATAGCCCCTTGTTTAAAAAATTTAAAAATATTGTAACACAACAATTCAGACATTGATTGTTATATGTTACTCAAAATATCTATGATTAGTTCTTAAATAATTGAAATGTTCCTATATTTATTTGCTATTTATTCTACAGTCCGCTGTATACCTCGCCGCTGCATTGTCGGCCTCAGGGTAACGGTAGGCCGTTGGAATACGAGATTACTAGAGTGATATTTTGTGCGGTCCAGAATTCATTCGATTAATAGTTTTAAATGCATAAAATAAGCTTTTCTCGATTTCTATTTCGTCCATATCTCTTTTTGTAGATCTATTCTCCTTGTTTACAAGTTATAATTATCTTTGTAAATAGTTATCTCTACTTGAAACGGATTTTAGTAGGTATTGTTTGTATTTAAAAGAAACAGCACGTTATTTTTAAACTCTTTGAAAAAATTAATGATTCTTCCATAATTTTTATACAATATTAGCAAAATACCCGGCGTTGCACGGTTGTTTTCGTATTCAATCCTTGTGAAAAAGAAAACCGTCTCTCTCAGTGTCTTTCTCAGTGTCTGTCACTCTCTCGCTCTCTGTATCTCTGTCTGTCTCTCTCTGTCTGCCTCTCTATATCTCTGTCACTGTCTCTATCTCTCTCCCATCGTTTCTCTCTATCTATTTCTCTCTACATATATATATATATATGGAGAGAGAGAGAGAGAAAGAGAGAGAGATGTGTATTGCATCTGTCTCTCTCCGTCAACCCCCGACTATTGGCGGAGCAGTACCCTACCAAACGGGCCACAGATCTCGCGCAATCTTTCCCACCTCTTCCTTGTGCTATACTCTCCCCTTACAAACACGCATACACAAACACGCACTATACAACCACACATGCCGGCAGACCGGTCGGAAGCTTACAGCTTGTCCTGGCTGGGGCGGTGAGTCGCTGGTGGGAGATACCTGGTTAGGAAAAAATCCCCTAGCCGGCGTCGGCGCTGGATAATACAGCGAGGGAAATATCACATCCACTTCCCAAGCGAAAAACTAACACTGGACTTACGGGACTAATGACCCTGGTAGTTGACGTGCCCGGAATCACTAAAACAATCAATTAATAATCTATTAATCAATCAATTTTATCTTCCTCTATCTCTGTGGCTCTATCGTTCTCTATCTTTCCGTCTCTCCGACTCTCTCTGTCTCTGTCTCTCTCTCTGTCCCTCCTTGTTTATCTCTCTGTATCTTTGTCTCTTGACTATCTTTCTCTGTCTGTATATCTCCCTGTATGAGTCTCTCTCTTTCTCTGCATGTTTGTTTCTCTCTCTGCGTCTCTGTCTCTTTCTACATCTGCCTGTGTGTACCTCTGCCTCTATGTCTCTATCTGCCTCATTTGTCTAGATCCGTCTCTATCTTCCTCTGTGTGTTTATGTCTGTCTCTGTCTGTCCCAGGGTGTCTTTCTGTCACTGACTCTCTCTGACTGTCTCTATCTCTATCTCTATCTTTGCATCTCTCGGTCTGTCTCTGTTCCTCTCTCTGTTTGTCTTTCTCTGTGTCACTCTCTTTTTATCTCACTCTCTCACTTACGCGTCAACTCTAGGCGTTACACTTCAACGCAGAAGCTCGGGTGGAGCGCAATATGAATGAAAATTGAATTAAAATGAAGCGCAATTTCGTTCTGCAGCGCCATGATGTAAAGGAACAACATAATTAACAGCACATAAATCTTCTGAGTGAAAAAACACGTAGATGTGCCAACTTGCATGGAGACCGGTCACACGGTGTTGGAGTTCTCTGCACTGGTACATTCAACATCTATTTTTATATATACAGATTATATTCTCTCCCTTTACTATCATAACAAAAATCTATAACCAAATACAAATGAATACAATTTAAAGAAGTAGAGAAAACAAATGTTTTAAAGAAGTACCCCCATAGACTTCGAGAATATAAAACAGCAGAATATACAGACGTTAGACATAATTATCAGAAGTAAGACTTCTGAAAGGAAAATAGCTCACAAACTTTGAAAACAAAAAGAAAAGATATCCCAGTTTCTTTCAACAGCGATAATTCATTCTCAAATAAATGAAGTTCATGGAAGAGAAGTAATTAAGTTACTCATCCCCTTCAGCTTTCAGATTTTTTTCGCTAGTTTTATCGATTCTCTTAGAACCTTTTTCTCCGACCTTTAGTCTTCAGAAGATAATGTAGCATCAACAAGAATGTCTCTAATAAAAGATTTTGTGGAACTCCTTGAGAATAATTCTCGAATATTGTTCTTCGATTCTGTGCGTTGTTCGGCTTTAAAATTATCGATCCCTAATGACCCTCATTAAATTTACACTATTTTCAACACGGTGATCTTCAACAAAGGGCAGTGTCAGAAATTACACACCGTTTTCTTCGAGTTAAGCTTTAAATCTTTACGTTTCTTAAAGATTGGGTATTGTGAAGCATCCTGTTTTCTTTTCTTAAAAATTCATTATCTCAATTTGAAAACAAGAATTCAGGGAACATTCAAATTAATGCATCTTTCGAAGAAACTTAAATGACTAATCTTGTGGTCCAATTTCACAAGATGTTCAATAACACTTATACTACGCATTAATAGCCGTTTTCCTGGACATTGTCGACAAAACGTGCATATTTAATGAAGGAAAATACTGTCCAAGAAGAATACATTCCTCAATACACTTAATCCTCAAGACGAATTTGCAAAGAATAAAGGTAAACTCTAATTCCCATGACCTAACAATAATACATGAACGATATAATTGATAAATCAATGAAAAATAAGTGGAGTAACTGATAGCAACAGACTTTAATGGATGTTCATAATTTTGTCCGTGAAGTAATGAAAATGTATACGTTTTATTATGATTCACATGATTTTCGCTCTTGAATTCATTCAAGCCGTTTTCCTAGAGCGCAAAGGTTTTGGCACACTGCCCCTAAGATCACACCAGACCCAGCTTTATTAAGTCAACAGCTGCGGCGGTCGGCAGCCGCGCGTATCTCCCTGGGCGAATGGCCGACGTGTTTATAGAGCACACGGTGCACAGCTCGGGCACGCGTGCTCGCGGGACGGCCGTGCGGGGAGGGCTCACGGGAAAACATGAAGTGAGCGAGCACGCACTGTGCACGGGTGGGCGAGCGGGGGTAGGGGCGTGGGTGGGAGAGTGGGTGGATGTGCATACGCAGGGGGCGAGGGAAGGGCGGGCAGACGGGAGCGGGCGGCAAGGGACAGGACATCGGGCCGAGAGACGCGCAGAACATAGCAGGAAACGAGCATTAGGGGAAGTAGCAGGTGAAACCGCGCGCGACGATGCGGTGAGAAAGCTAATGAGGATACGGAACGACGGGGGGGGCAAGGGTAGGAGGGCAAAAGGCCGGGAGGCGGTAGCGAGGGAATAGATTGGCTAGTGTGAAGCCCGTGAGGAAACGTGCGAGCTAGAAGACGAGGAGGCGGGGGCTCGTTGGACAAGGCTGGACCAGAGGAGACAGCGTTAGACAATGGATCGGCGAGAGGTATAAGAGGTGGGGTAGGTGATGGAAGCAAGCAGGCAAGCAATAGCAGGCACGGAGCTGGCTGAGCGAGCGGGCAAGCCAGGCACATGATGCAGGGTGGAAGTGGCTAACGAGTAGTGCGAGCGTGGGGAACTGGCGGGGGAGCAAGGGCTGGTATGGTGCGGCGCAGCCAGGGGAGCGGGCGGGTGGGGCGAGGCGTGTGTGGGCGAGACGGGTGGGCGATTGGAGTTGAGCGAGCGAGCGGAGCGTTTGCGCGAGGTGGGCGAGCGGATTGAGCGCGCCGACGCAAGCAGTTGTGGGCGAGCTGGCGAGCGTGTAAGTGCGTGTGGAATGGGGCCGTAAGAGGTAGTGCGGGCGAGTCAGCGGGAGGTGAAACGGCAATGGGCAAATGGCGCGAGACGGGTGACGGTAAGAAGGAAGTGTCGAGTGTGTCGGGCGGAGCTGGCGGGCGGGCTGGCGGAGGCGGGCGCGGCGGGCGGGCGAAGACAAGCAGGCGGGCGAGCAAGCAGGCGGGTGGGTGAGACGGTGGGGACGAGTAGGATGAGCGAGGGCGGGCGAGCGGGCGTGTTGTAGGCATGGATATAGGGTGCGAGGGGGCGGGCTTAAGACCAGACGGGGAAGAGTAGGAGTGCCGCGAGAATGGAGGCGGCGGCTGCGTCCCGATGGCGCACGTGCACATAACGTCGCCGCCGCCGCTGACGCGCTGCGTGCCGCGCGCTGTTGCAGAAGCTGTACCGGTTCATCAACTGCGTGGAGCTGGTGTCGCCCCACCACGCGGCGCGGGAGCTGGTGCACACGCTGCGCCAGGGGCAGATCACCAGCCTCTTCCAGAAGAGCGTCAAGAGGGTACGCATCACTCAATTTCCCTCCCTTTCTCAGTGGACTTTTTTTCTGTGTAATTTGCTGTTTTGTCATGATCTGTAAATCGTTGTACTCACATCTTATTCATTTCAAAGAATACTAATGAACAAAATTATATAAAAAATTATAACATCTAAAGAGCGGGTAAAAAATTTAAAAAGATTAAAAATGAATATCAGTTCTTAGAATTTTCCAAACATTATTTGGTATCACATTTATTCATAATATGAATACTGTGTTATTCCAAAACATGACTTTCGTAATAAATAGAATCATCGAATCAGACTTATAATTAATTAAATATCTTTTAAATCATTGAAAGGTAAAATTAGTTCAATTTTTTTGCTTGCCAATAAAATAAGGATTAGCTGTATTAATGAAATGATGACTTGATCTGAAAATGCCATGTAATACTATGAAAGTGATCTAAACTCTAAAGATTGCAAGAGTATTTCAAATTATTAATGTATTATCTCATTCTAAAAGACATAACAAACGTAAAGCAAATTTGGAGAATATTTTAACCTAATTTTCAAAATTTCCTCAACGTAATTTTGAACTTGAATGTTAAAATAATAAAATAAAAAAATAATTTTCCGTATTTCTTTTACTTCTTGGTGTATCTTCTTCAAAATTTAATTATTGCACTATTTTACTTTGTACTTTGTTCGTATGTAATACATGTGCATGGATCAATTGTCTGTTCATGTTCTGCTTTGTCGTTTCTCTTCATTTACATTTCATGTAGTTTCTTCACTAATTCATTTACCGCTTCGTCTATCAATGTATTACAAAAATATTATTTCATATCACTGTATTGAACTCACTTGTGTATCCAACGTATAAAAAACACCAAATGTATGTTGCAAGTGCATCTTTGATGTTTACTAATATAATTGTGATAAACGTCGGTGTTTTTCCTAACAGTATGTTTTTAAGATTTTAGCACTGAGCTCCGTAGCTGCGCACTAAGCAACCTTCTGCACGGAAAATTACTCTTGGTCACAAACTTTCTTATAAACGTAAGATTTGAGGGTAAGAGTTGTAGACTGCCTGGTCCAGCAAAGCAGTAAACTTCAGATTCCTTCTTCAGAGACCACTTTCTCAGAATGTGAGGCATTTACGAAAGTTTTAGTCATCGTCCTTCCTTGAGCATGTAAACTCAAGACACATACATTTTTGTATTTTAATGATTCTGTACTAAAAATAGTTTAAATATTTCTTAAACATTGCGAAGTAAATTACTTATAATGCATGGCACATCTTTGCACTTTAATATTTTCCCACGAACCTAGTAAGTCATCAATGCATGAAACAGTACAACTACAACCTTGCAATACAGGTACGACTGTTGTTCTAGCAGAAACATGAGTGCGAAAGTTGTGCACACTCCCTCGTCTCAGGTTCTTATATTGACGTAGTAAAAGAAAAATTATCTTTGTCTTGAGAAGAGAGCGTGTAATTTGAACAATGGATCAAGTGAGAAAAATATGGACATTTTCCAAATTAGCACTAAATGTTTTAAAGTATCAAGTTACTTTGCAATACAACATACGCGATTAGAAAGCGTAAATAAATACAAGCCCTTTCGTGATAGAAATAAAAACAAACTAAATGACCAGGAAAAAACAAGAGACGAGGGAAGGAAAGTGATGTAAGGATTAAATGCCAAGAATCTCGAAATTCGTTTGACTTTTTTTTTTCATCAATCAGCATGAGATTTTAATTTCAACGTGTTAATAATTTCTATGTATTGATGTTGTAGATAGTAATGGCGAAAACTGAGAACACCAAATTTTGTAGAATAACGAGAAGATGAGAATAACGAGATAAGAACGATATGGATTTAACTGCACCTAAAACCGTAGATTTCCGTCTTTGAAAAATAAAATTGTATAATAAGAGTGTATTGTATAATAAGAAAATAAGGGTGAATAATTACTAATAAGCATGTATACGTTTTACTATACCCGATTTTTTTTAACGTGTTGACTTACGACAATATGATTAATGGTGTAATATTGATTTCGTCAGTACCTTTTATTACATCGTTTGTAATAATGAACCATTTTATCTAGTACAGGGAGTTTTATTATAAGGTATATGATAATGAGCAACTTAATTTTCTTAAAATACTTACGAATACAGCACAGAAAGTCGATGAGATAAAGTAGAACATTTTATTTAGTTATGAACTAAAACAAAATGTCGCTAAAATGTTATTAGTTCATACACATTAGGGATTCTAAACGCGTGCTAAGTCGAGAGATGCGTAAATACACCTCTAATAACAATATTAAAAATTCAGAAGTAAATTTAATTACAAGGAGTCAAAATATTCGCTGAGGGTTTTGAGAAAGGCCACAAAGCGTATCATGCAGAAATAAATTTATTTAAAAATATCACAATATTTTGTGAAGGTTTTAAGATTGGTAGCAATGCCAAATTCTATTAATATATTTAATCAAGAAGAGTCATAATAATGAGGATTTTGAATGTGTAAACTGTGCGAAATGTGTAGTAATAAATTTAATAAAAAAGAACCAAAATATTTCGTTGGATTTCGAGAATGGTAGCGAAGAAAAACGTACAGAAATACCCACAACAATCAAAAAGAGCCAAATAATTTCGTGCGGTTTTCAAGATTGACAGGAGTGCAAAACGCGCAGATTAACATTTAATCAAAAAGAGCAAAACTATATAGGGAGGTTTATGACATTGACTGCAATGCAAAACGTGCAGAAATACATTTAATGAAAAAGAACCAAAGTACTTCCTGAGGTGATTGAGATTGGCAGCAATTCAAAAGTGCAGAAATACATTTAATCAAAAAGAGCCTAACTTTTCCATGGAATTTTCGAGATTGGCAACAATGCAAAACATGCAGAAATACATTTAATCAAAAAGCCAAAATATTTCAAGATTGGCAGCATAGCCAAACGTGCCTAACTATATTTGACCAAAACGAGCGACGCCATTTCGAGAGAATTTCGAGATTCTTGGGCGCCGCGTCCGCGGCGGGCCGTGGTGGGTCGCGAGCACAGGTGAGCGAGGGGGCGGCGGGGAAGACCCCGCGCGTGATGCGTGACGCGCCCACCCTTGTTTCAGAAGGAACATGAGCAGCGTCGGCGGCGAAAGAGCAAGGCACAGTTTTTCGAGATGATCCAGGAGATTCGCAGGTGAGATCCGTTTCCCCAAGTGCCAGACCCTGGCCTTGGATTTCCGAACACGTAACGCTTGCGTTTATACCAATCACAACTCACAAGGTACGTAAGTTTCTTGCCACTCACTGCTTCGGAAACATTGCTCAACGTCGGCAGCTCGTGGAAAGCCATAAGCAATGCATGCGACTGCCGGCGTTGATATCAATAAAGTGAGAACACAAGAGTTCAGACAATAGAGAGATAGGGTTATGAGTAAAGGAAATTGTTCAAGTCTCCTCAGTATTATTATAAAAGACAATGTTATGTAATGTATATTAATATTAATTTCATTGCATTATTCTCTTTTGCATTAAAAAGCCTTTTCATTTAATATGTATTAGCATTGTTCTCACAATAATTTTGTGAAAATATATAATTATTACCGGGTAATTTTACAGATAATTAAGATATATGCAAAGAAATGATAAATAACATTTTAATAACTTCAAAAGAGAACATAATACTTTAAACACAAATCATATTTATTGAACTATTTGTGTTTCATTCGTTCAAAGACATCTTGGCATTCATCGATTTTTGTGCATCTATGACATAATAACCAAATCTGTAACGTCTCAGTAACTATCGGTTGTAAGTAGATATCATTATCGAGAGAATGTTAATCTTTCAAATGTTGTCGAACAGAATACCCAATATTCGTACATTACTGAACACTCCAAAACAACAAAAAATTATCACTTATTTAGGCAATTAAAGTACAGTAGCAATATTGCTTGTAATTACAGTCAAGTAGCAATGTATGTTGACATTGTAAAATGTTTAAAGCTAAATATGTGTAATAATTGATTTACCCTGTTTTAGTGATCGTCAACATGTGTGTTTCTTGCCCTGTTCTTTCACACTTCTTCTTCTTGTTGCCCCCCTCTTTACCCCCACCAAACGTCCCGAGGAGTCGCAAACGACAGTGCTCTGACGCTGAAGCAGGGCGCGGGCGGCCGTTGGCAGGGTGCAGCAGGAGGAGCGCGAGCAGCCCGTGCTGGTCACGACCACGGAGGAGGAGGAGCCCGCGGGCGAAGAGGGCGGGGCGGCGCCGGCCGCCGGCGACCCCGCCTCCGCCGCCGCCAACCCCAGCCCCCGCTTCAAGAA